GGCGGGGAGATAGAAAACAAAGACGATGGCTTCTCTCTCGGAGAGCTTTTCAAGGTCCCTCCATCCTTAAATGTCCTCCGTCCCTACTTGGGAACACAAAAATCCTAGCCGCCTAATTTCCATCTGTCCTCCTGTAACACTGGCTACTCCCTCTCCCTGCCACGGAGCCCAGCCACAGCCTCTGACAGGATCTCTTCAGCATCCCGTGGTCTGGAGTATGGATGGGGACCCCACTTCAACCTTCCCACCATCTGTCCCCCCCTCACCCCATTCCCTTCTCCTTGGGGATGTCAGCGCCCACCCCAAGCCCGCCTCCCTCCCCGGGCCCTTTTTCCGGTGGTATGTGCCAGCCGGTCCCGCATCCCACATCCCCAGCTGTTGACATTTCGTTGCCATTACCCGCGGGATAAAGAAAGGGGCCCTGTTATTCAACAATAGGGGGAAACATTGAGACAATGGGAAATTGTGCTTCCGACGGGGTGGGGACAGAGAAGGAAAGGACAGACAGACAGACCGGAGGGCTGGGCCGAAGGTCAGGTTTCTTGGAGCAGCTGGAGGTCTGGTTTCCAGGTTGAGAGCCTCTTCCCAAAGGCGATGCCCACCCAGGCAGCAGGGGGCGGAGGTAAGGATCCTCGGGAGGTGGCGGGGGTGTGGGGGGGTGTTGCATAGGTGCAGCTGTGTGCGAAAGGAGGCGTAGCTGCAGCTGACCAGCTGTGGCTCTTGGAGCCACATTTGGAGTCCATTCCCATCTCCATGCGCGCTCATACCCACCACTCAGCCCCCTCCCCACCCTGCCCCGACCCCGAAGCAGTCAGAATCCGCCGTGAGCACACGGGGCAGCCATCCCTGGGTGGCCTCCGTTACTCCCTTCCTGAGCTCCAGTCCTTCATCCTAAGTCCAGCCTCTTCCTTGGCCCCAGCACAGTGAACCCCACTGTTTCAGTCACAGGGCTGGACACTGGTCACTTCGCTTGGCCCAGTGGACTGATGGGTGGGGGGCAGGTCTGGGCACCTTGGCGTCTTCTTTGAGCACAGGAAAGAAGGCTTTCCTCCAAGGTGCAAAAGGAGCAACCGTGTTGATCAGGTGCTCAGGTTCCTGGCCTTTAAGGCGCTCGGACCGCGTGGGAGCCAAAGCGATTCCTTCACCGGGACCTCCTCCGCAGCAAACAGGGCAGGGGGCTGCTAAGCCTGGCTTCCCGTCTGCTGAAGAGACCGGCTTTTAGCAGGTAGGCAGTGGGGCTGCCAGCCACCTGCTGTTTTCTTTATTCTTCCTTCCTTCCTTCCTTCCTTCCTTCCTTCCTTCCTTCCTTCCTTCCTTCCTTCCTTCCTTCCTTCCTTCCTTTCTCAAAGACTTACTTTTTTATTTTTTGAAAGGCAGAGTTACAGAGAGGCAGAGAGAGAGAGAGAGAGAGAGAGAGAGAGAGAATGTGTCTTCCATCCATTGGTTCACTTCCCAAATGGCCACAACGGCCAGAGCTGGGCTGATCTGAAGTCAGGAGCCTGCAGGTTCTTCCAAGTGGAGCAGCCGGTACTTGAACTCCATATGAGACACTGGAACTGCAGGTGGCGGCTTTACCCACTTTTTTTTTCCTGCCATTTTCTGTAAGGGGCATGAAGATGATAGGTGTGCATTTGTGTGTGTTTTTTTTTTTTTAAGATTTATTTTATTTATTTGAAAGGCAGACTTAGAGAGAGAGAGAGAGAGAGAGAGAGAGAGAGATCTTCCATCTGCTGGTTCACTTCCCAAATGGCCACAACAACCAGGGCTGGGCCAGGCTGG